GTTGGCTATTTAGAGTGCGTGGAGATGGGTTCAGGGGCACGGGCCTGTAATACCAGCTATTAGGGAGGCTAAGACAGGATGGGAGGTTCAGGGCCTGCCTGGGCTAGAGGGAGTTGAAACAGCGTGAGGAACTTAGGGAGACTGTGTCTCAAGGTGTGGTGTGCAAGGAGGCTGGCTTACGACAGCTTAGCTGGTGAAGGAATTTGCTGCCAAGCCCAGTGACCTGACGTCAGTCCCTGGGGTCCTCATGGTAGAAGGGGAGGCTTGAATCCCTCAAGTTGTCATCAGACTCACACACATGCTATAGCATGAATATGCTCCCCATTCCATAAATAAAAACTTAAACAAGAAAATGAAACAGAAAACCTTAAAAAAAAAAAAAAAAAAAAAAAAAAAAAAAAAAAAAAAAAAAAAAAAGAAGTAAAAGTCAGGCCTGGTGGCTCATGCCTGTAATCTCAGCATTCAGGAGGCTGAGCCAAGAGGATTACTGTGAGTTTAAGGTTAGCCTGGGGTACATAATAAATCTTAGGTCAGACTGGGCTAGAGTTAAACCCTTTATTTCATCATTTGCTCTCCAGACGGGAAAACCCTTGTGATGCTGTTGTCTTTCACCCAAAATTTATTGGGAAGACCCTAGAAACCTTGCCAGAGAAGAGGTGAGTGGGCCCTGGTGTGCAGAGGACGGAGGGGTGGACAGTGGAGAGCAGCGGGCAGCCTGTACTTAATTTTAAACTCTCTCTGTGAGCAGCACCGTGGGAACCAGCTCCCTGAGGAGAGTGGCCCAGCTACAGAGAAAGTTCCCTCATCTGGAATTCAAGAGTATTGTATCCTTTCCAAAGAGAGAAGGGCAGTGGTCAAAGAAGAGAAGTGTTAGAGGACTCTGAGAGTCCTAAATAGGATCTTCTAAAGCAAGTGGTCCATGTGGGCAGTGGATTGTTTGTCTTTCCTTCCATCCATCCATCCATCCATCCATCCATCCATCCATCCATCCATCCATGATCCACAGTCCTTTAATGTTTTCTTAAACTAAGGCAGGTGCCTGGCCGTGAGAATAATTGTAAAACCAACATTGTTCCTGCTTATATAGAATTGACATGTTAACTAGAGAGACTGACAGGCCTTGACAATACAAGTGATACCGATCAGTGATGACCTCTTGGTGGCAGGGATGGAAGGTGCTTCCATTTTTACTTTATGCTGCTAAATGGCTTTTATTTTTACAGTGAATATGTGGTATATCTCATAAAACTAATTTTTAAAAACAGTATGTCCTGGGAATGGGAGAGATGACATAGTGGTTTAAAGCACTGGCTGCTTTTCCAGAGGACCCTGGTTCAACTCCCAGCATTCACATGGTGGCTCACAACTGTCTCTATGTAAAAGGGACTTTTTTTTTTTTCACCTGCTTCAATTATTGTCTCAGAGGCTTACTACCTCTGTCTGCTAACCTAGGCCTGCTCCTGGAAACTTCCAGTCCCCATACAATCCAACCTAGGCCTAGAATGTTTTCAGCCTCTGGGACTTTCTGCTTAATAGGCTCACCCTTTCTTACTGAGGTCAAAGCTGGTTGGTTCAACTCAGCTGTTCTGGTTCAGGTTCCTCTCCCAGCTGACTTATTCAATCTGACTTCTCTATTGATTTCTCAGTTACTCTGCTTGGCTACTCAGACTAACTCGAATAATCTTTTCTAAGCTTCTGGCTCCTTCTCATTCTCTGGCTCATTCTGTCTTCACCTGTGTCTAGCTTGTTTTCTCATTTAACCTTTCTCTGTAAAACTCTCCTGGTAAAACTGCCTCCTCTCTCCCTTTCCCTCCCTTCCTCCTTCCCTCCCTTCCTCTGCCTCTGTCTCCCTTTCTCTGCATTGCACCTTATGTGGCTGTCCTTTCCCTTTTTCCTCTCATGAGAGTTGGCCATATCCTATTCTGTCATATCTGTCTCTGATTTGTCACTTTCTGCCACTCAATTAGAGATTACTTTCAATAATCTCTATGATTATTGGGTAATAATTATTGGATAAATGGGTTCTTCCTTCTTTTTTTTTTTTTTTTTTTTTAAGACAGACAGGGTTTCTCTGTGTAGCCTTGGCTGTCCTGGAACTGACTCTGTAGACCAGGCCGGCCTCACAGAGATCCGCCTGCTTTTGCCTCCCTGGGTGCTGGGACCACATGCATGTGCCACCACACATGGGCTGGGTGCTTCCTTCTGCAAACTAACTTTACCTTCATTGTTTGGGATTAAAGGCATGTGCCACCAGGCCTGAACCTATCTTAACCTAAAACTTACTCTATACCAGGCTGCCTTGAACTCAGATCTGCTTTCCTCTGTCTCCTGGATTAAAGGTGTGTTTATATTCTAGCCTGATCATACAGATCTAGAAGGTCTTTGGATGTAAACTCTTGCCAGAACAGCCATGTTCTGAATTAAGATTCCTCTAGATCTCTAACTTCAGCTCTAAGGGATTTGATGCCCTCTTCTGGCCTCCACAGACCTACATGTATGTAAAACACCCATACACATAAAACTAACATAAATAAATAAAAACTAGTATGTCCCAAAGGTGGTACATGCCTTTAATCCCAACACACTGGAGGCTAAGGCAGGTAGCTCTCCATGAATTCAAGGCCAGCCTGATTTACAGAGTAAGTTCCAGTACTGCCAGAGCTACACTGTGAGATCCTGTCCAAAAAAAAGTCTTTTTTCCTTTTTTTTTTTTTTTGAGACAGGTTTTTTCTGTGTAGCCTTGGCTGTCCTAGAACTCACTCTGTAGATCAGGGTGAACTCCCCTGCCTCTGACTCTAGAGTGCAGGGATTAAAGGCATACACAGCCACCACCTAGCCAAAAGTCTTTAAAAAGTAAGCTAGAGTGCAAAAGAGACTGTGGGGCCAAAGGTGCACTATGATGGTCACAATTTCTCCTTAGCATCTCTCCACAGCGGGGAAACCTTAACACTCGCCTGCGGAAGCTTGATGAGCAGCAGGAGTTCAGTGCTATTATTCTGGCTGTGGCTGGCCTACAGCGAATGGGCTGGCAGAACAGGGTTGGGCAGGTAGGGACTGCCCCATTCCGATTCCTATTTAATTTGCTTCATTCCTGCCTTTGGTGTATCTTCTTGAGCATTCTGCCAATAACACTACAAGCCAGAAAGTAAACTTGGGCTAGGGAGATTGGGATTAATGGCCAGACTCCTGCTAGTGCCTTCCCCCACCCCCTTCAGGCTTCCTAGATTGGCAAACCCTTGACCACTGCTTTTGCCCTTCCCAACCCCCCTTCCCACTATTCCATCCGTTCTGTCTGCCTCCACAGATCTTGCACCCAGAGGAATGCATGTATGCTGTGGGTCAGGTAAGTTTGCCTGGAGAGGGCTTGGTTGATGAGGCTCCTTCAAGAGCTTTGGTTAATAGCCTTTGGCACCTGCTTCCTATCGAATAAAATGTTCAGGAAGGGGCAGCCTATGGCATAAAGACCCTGGGAAGCAAGTAGAGGAGGAATGTTGCCCACGTTTAGCTCAGTGACTGGAGAAAGATCAGGCCCGTTGTACCTTTAGGGAGCCCTAGCCGTGGAAGTCCGAGCCAAGGACCAGGATATCTTGGATCTAGTGAGTGTGTTGCATGACCCCGAGACTCTCCTTCGCTGCATTGCTGAAAGGGCCTTTCTGAGGCACTTGGTAAGTCTTGGGCTCCTCCTGTGGTGGTGTGGGAACTTGGGAAACCAGGAAAGGTACTTACTCAAGTAAGTACTCTGTATGTAATGTTTTGTGAGAGGACCCTGGTCTATCCCCAGCAGCCTTTTCAGTTATATCCATATATATATATTTATATCCATATATGTTTATATGTAAATTTTCGTATAAATAAAACCTATGCCTATGGGTCAAAAGTGGTGTTAAAGGCCCTTAAAGCTCAAAGAAACCTATCATTGCAGGAAGGAGGCTGTAGCGTGCCAGTAGCAGTGCATACAATGATGAAGGATGGACAAGTAAGCAGGGAAAATGGATGAGGGGCAGGGACTGGCATTTCTGTGTGCACCCAAACATCTAAACAGCTTGCTGGTACAAAACGTTTTCTTTCCTAGCTGTACCTGACTGGAGGAGTCTGGAGTCTAGATGGCTCAGATAGCATGCAAGAGACCATGCAGGCTACCATCCAGGTCCCTGTTCAGGTACTGACTGGGAGATGAGGGAGGAATAAAACAGAATTGCTTGTAATCTTCCCTGTCACCAAATTCTTACTCCTCTCATTCAGCATGAAGATGGCCCAGAGGATGACCCACAGCTGGTAGGAATCACTGCCCGGAACATTCCAAGAGGAGCCCAGCTAGCTGCTGAGAACCTGGGCATCAGCCTGGCCAGCTTGATGCTGCACAAAGGAGCCAAGAACATCCTGGATGTTGCACGGCAGCTTAATGATGTGCATTAACTGGTCTGTAGGGCACAGGAACCCCAGCTGCCACTTTCCAGTGCCTACGTTTGGGTTTCAAGTGCCCTGCGCTCCCTAACTAGGATTATCCCAGGAGATTGAACCACAGGGTGTTGAGACTTCCAGAGACATGCCTCATCTTGAGGCCTTGATGACTGCCTTTCTTCCTCATAGTCCGGGCTTTAAAGTCCATGCCAATCTTTGAATGTAACCAATGTCACTAATAAACCAGCTGATTGTGGTTGTTTTGGTGGAGTCTGGGGAAGATTAATAAACCCAAAGCCCTTTTGAACCTGAATTCTGAGTTTGGGACTTTTCTGTTGTAAACCATTCTATGACTGCTTCCTGTTCTTGGAATTAAATCCCCAGGAAGCACCAAACAAGCCAAGAGAACAGCGTTGCATTCCTATAGAGTTAACAGGATTTGTGTTTTGCAGCCTTTCCCATTCTCACTGCCTGATGTAAGGAAGTTACCCTATAGTCCCATTCCCACAACTCATGCTGGGAACGTGGCTCTACCACAGAGCTATATATACATCCCGGGCCCGGGCCTACAGCAATCCAAAATAAATCAGACACAAGTGTTAAAAAACCAAACAATCCTTTAATAAAATTAGCCCATTGAAACTCCCCACTACCTAAGGTTCTAGTCTTGGCATAGGCTGCAAAATTCCAGTTCAGAAGCCAACAGAGGCTCAGTCCAGACAGGGATTCACCGACTTGTGCTGGTATCTAGGTGTTTGGGTGGTCGAGTCGCTGGGGAGGAAAGGAGATGCCTAGGCCCGGCTGCCAGTCTCCTGCGGCAGGAACACAACTTCTGTCCACAGGCCTGCGAGCGTCTCCCAGACCCTTGCCAGGACGCACCCTGGAGAAAACCGGCTCATAGGATTGTCCCGGCCCCACCACAGCGGCCTATGGGTAAAGACGGGGAAAACTGGTGTAAGAGGCCAGCGAGGGGAGGGGGCGCACGGGACCGACAACGGGATGAGCTCCTCTTTACCGAAGCCTGGGAAGCAGGTCAGCTCTGGAGCGTCCAGGCGAGAGCTAAGCACCGAGCTGGAGAAACGACGTCCTGGCTGCAGCCGCGGAGGGACTCACCTTCCAGCCCACCTCGGCCGCCCGTCCCGGCGAGAGGCCGGGCCTCCTCCCGCCGCAGCCTCTCCGCGCGGCCCGACCGAGGTCGGCGAGGCCGTCTCCCAGCTGCGGGATGGGCCCGGGCAGCGGCGACCTCCGCGGCTGACCCGGAGACGCGGGGAAGGGGAGGCGGAGGCGCGCGAGGGAGCGAAGGGGGGAGGCGGCGGCCCGGGCCGCAGCCCGAAGTGGCTCAGCTCTTTCTGTGAGGGATGTGGTGGCCCTTAAAAGGGCCTTTGTGGAGGAGTGGGGAGGGCTGGGCGGCCGCGGCGCGAGCCCCCTCAGTACTCCTGGGAGGCCTGGGTGGCCTTCTTGCCGCCCGCCGGCGTCTTGGGCCCCACGGTGGCGCTGGTCTTCTTGGGCAGCAGCACGGCCTGGATGTTGGGCAGGACGCCGCCCTGCGCGATCGTCACGCCGCCCAGCAGCTTGTTGAGCTCCTCGTCGTTGCGGATGGCCAGCTGCAGGTGGCGCGGGATGATGCGCGTCTTCTTGTTGTCCCGGGCCGCGTTGCCCGCCAGCTCCAGGATCTCGGCGGTGAGGTACTCGAGCACGGCCGCCAGGTACACGGGCGCGCCTGCGCCCACGCGCTCGGCGTAGTGGCCCTTCCGGAGCAGCCGGTGCACGCGGCCTACTGGGAACTGGAGGCCGGCGCGCGAGGAGCGCGACTTGGCCTTGGCGCGGGCCTTGCCTCCGGTCTTGCCGCGACCCGACATGGTGTGCGAGGTAGAATGGAAGAGAGCGACGTGAGGAGAGGGGTAACCGCCGAGCGCCGCAGTCGACTGTCGGCCCGCGCGGGCGGGCCCGCTCTTATAAGCTACCCGGACACGCCCCCGCGTCCGTCCGATTGGCTCTTTTTTTAATACCCGCCTCTGGTTGGTTGTAATTAGCCCATCGGTGACGCGTCTTGGAGGAGAGAGCGCACCCAGTGATTGGTCCAATTTGAAAACCTTTTACCCGGGGAAGACGGCAAGGCGGAGTGGCCCTAAGCTGGCGGCTCATCACCCGTGGAAATGGCCTATCCGTACAAAGCGCGCGAAATTTAAACGCTACTGCGCGCCACCAAAACTGGAAGACGAGAAGGGCGGAGCTTGGAGCCACCTCTACAGCGTCTGGGAAATCTGAGCCGGCGTAGGGTTTTAAAGGGAAAGGATCTACACTAAAACCTTCCATGTCCCACTCCGTCCTCTACTCTAGCAAAGGGAAGGCTTATTTATTTGGGGGAGGGGGACGGGTGTGTGTCTTTCAAGACGAGGGTTTTTTGTGTGTAGCCCTGGATCTCATTCTGTAGATTAGGCTGGACTCAAGAGAGCTACCTGCCTCAGTCTCCCAAGACCTGGGATTAAAGGAGTTCACCATCACCATCTGGCTTTTGTTTGAGATGGGGTTTCTCAAGTCCTGGCTGTCAGGAGCTCTGCCTGCTTCTGCCTCCCTGGTGCTGGGATTAAAGGCATGTACCACGCATGGCTGCAAAGGGAGGGTTTAAAAGAAATGAAACCTCCCAAGAGTTTAATCTTAGCCAGAAAACAGTATTGTGGTCCTTTGTGCTACTGTAAATTAGTACTTTAGTATTTATTCGACATGTTGTGTCTGGCCTCAGTTCTGTCACTTTGTGCAAGAAAGGACCTGATGGAGCAAAGGAGGGCATCCTACTGGGAAAGGTACCCACTCTAACCCTTCTAATCTATCCTAAAAGGTCCATACAAAAAATAAATATATCAGGCTGGGGATACAGTTTAGTGGTAGAGCACTTCATTACAAGGAAGCCCTGGGTTCAATCCTTAAGCAACTCATAGGTTAAAAAAAAGGGGGGGGGAGGGTAGGGGAAGAGTGGATATACCTACAGGAGGAGCAAGTAAAAGGTAATCCTTTATTGTCACCATTTTGAGCACATGGCCCTGCCTCTGCTCTCCTAATCAGAACACTTAATTTTATAGTCAAATCTGAGGTTACCTTGGAGTATGTTGCCCTAACTCTAGCCCCTAGCCCAGGTTCTCTCTTGAGGTCCAGCGGATTCCTTTAGAGTTAGGGCTCTGAAAGTTGAGCTGTGAATAGCTGTATAAAAGATGCTACATCCCCACCTTATGAGATTGTGGATGGGACAGAAAGGGAAAGGGTGGAAAGCTGAAGAAAGCCATAGGCGAAGTCCAACTAATGGACTAAATCCAATAAGGTCCATTCAGGATGTCAATAATCACAGATGATGGGAGAAACTGAAGACAAAATCTGAAAAATTAACAGTCAGGGAGGCCTGGACCAAAAGGCAGTCTTGGACCAGACAAAGGCTGGTCCTGGGTGAGGTCCAATGGAGACTGTGGTTAAGGGCGATCGATCATCAGGAAAACTCAGACATCATAGAAGAGTCGAACAAGCTGGTAACGAATGGAGAAGGTGACAGCGCTGCTGAGGATCTAGGAGAAATGGACTGGCATTAGAACCAAGGTGAAACAGAGACAAGAAAATTTACATAAATCCCACCCTCAACTTTACCTGCAACAGCAGCAGGAGCAATGTGAGGTTTCTCTCATGTGTGGGCCCAAAGACTTTAAGCAGCAAGTTGATGAGGGTCATGTTGTTACATTCAGTGAAGGCACCATCTTCACTCTCACCTCGGTGAACTGTCACTAGCCGGAGGCTCTCTGCCACCTGGAAGGGCCCAGTGGTGGAGACAACTTCAGTTACATTTCTTGAACAGGAATCTTGATGTTTCTAAACTCTCCTTGGGCCTGAGAAGGCCTACGTTTCTTTTTCTCAAGTTAAGGATGGTGGCCTGGGGCCTTACCTCCTTGACACCTTGTTACCTTTAAAATAAAGGTGCCCAAGAAAGAGAGGCTCTTGGTCTTGAACTTGGAATAGCTCATCTCCAGTTTGCCTGTCTTCGAATTGAGTCTACAACAGAAGATGATTTCACATTACTCAATCAAAGTTTTCCCACTCTGTGTTTAGTAAGAAGACTACTGAGGACTTGAGCACTTAAGTCTGGCTCTGCTGCTTATGTCTGGGTGATCACATAAGCTTTGTAAAGTATAAGGGGCCACAAACAGTTATTGCATTCTTTTCCCCCACTTCTTTTTGCACAGTAAATGTAATGTTGGCTTTAGCTATCCCAAGTAAAAAGCTATCATGACCCTCTCCAGCCCCACAGTGGATACCTGGGTATGCGGTGTCGAGGGCAGGGGATGATATGAAAGAGCTGAGGCAGCGAGTAGAGGAAATTGAACACTTGTGGCATAAAGAAGAGCAGCATGGTCTTGCTGAAGTGGCCCAAGATTCCCACCACGGCGAAGGTCATGCCAGCAAAGTAACAGAAGGTATCTCCCACAAACACCTGTGACGGGTACCTGAAGAGAAGAGAGGATCTGAGCCAATGGCAGGAGTCATTACTGACCCTTTCTTTCACATCACACACTCAGGCTAGTCCTGACCCTGAGAGTTCCAAGAGAAAGGCTGTTCCAGAAACTCTGCGGGATGCAGGGCCCCAAATTCACCTATTCCTGGGAGCTCCACAGCATTTGCTCCCAACTACTTCAGAGTAGACAGCAATCCTACAACACCATGAGGCTGGTTTGTAGCTTAGTGATCAAGCAGTCACCTAGCAAGTACAAGGTCATGGATTTAATCCCCAGCACTATGGTGTGTGTGTGTGGGGGGGATATCTAATAGCACATATCTGTAATCCCAGCTCTTACAGAACCTGACGGCAGGAGGATTATTAATTCAAGTCCACCCTTGACAAAATAGTAAGTTCAATGCCAGAGAGACCCCCACATCTCAAAAAAAAAAAAAAAAAGGGTCTGGGAATATAGCTAAATAGTTGAGTGCTTGCCTACCATTCTTAAGACCCTACCTTCAATCCTTTGTACCATAAACACACACACACATACCATAAATGCTTGTGCTCACACACACACAAAACACTAGAAATGGCAAACTACCACCAATGGAAGACCCACCCAGAGAACACCCAACAAAAGTATGCACAATTTTAGTCTCCTCTCCTCATTAGAAGCTGAGTGATGTCAAGACCTTCTCTGCCACATATGCCAATCATTTTCTTCTTATCCACAGATCTACTTACCAGTTATGGTACAGCAATCCCAAGGTAGTAAAAAAGAATGGTATCATGAAGTAGAGGGAAAAGACATGATCATCCCGATAATCACCTTTGGAGCAGAGTGACAAGAAGGAAGTTAGTAGTCATACCCCCTAAGTACCTTTGGTCTTGCCTGTGTCTAATTTATGTTACCAGCCACTGGGAACACCTCAAGTCACTTTCAAGACCAACCCTACCCCGCTGCCCTGTTGGCCTCTACCTTCCATGTGCTGGGATTACAGATATTTGCCACCACCACAACCAGTTCTAACTTCCCCTTTTGTGTCACCTAGCCATTTCCCAATACTCTGTCACTTTTATTGAGCCTTCCAAAAAGCTAGTTATGGGCTAGAAAGGTGGCTCAGTGATTGAGAACACCAGCTGCTCTTTCAGAGGTCCTAAATTCAGTCCAACGCGCCCACCTGGTGGCTCGCAGCCACCTTTAACTACAGTCTCATAGGATCAGCTGACATCTTCTGGAGTACAGATACACATGTGGACAAAACATCCACATAAATAAACAAACAAAAGCCTAGTGACTCCAGCACTTAGGTAGAGGCAGGCATAGCTCTGGGTTCAAGGCCAGCCTGGGCTATATAGTGAGTTCCAGGACAGCCAGGGCTACACAGAAAAAAACAAAAAACAAATAATAACAAAAAAGCTAGTGACAGCCAGGCATGGGGGCAAATGCTTTTAATCCCAGCACTTGGGAGGCAGAGGCAGGTGAATCTCTGAATTTGAGGTCTGAGCCTGGTTTACAGAGTGAGTTCCAGGACAGCCAAGGTTCACACAAGTGAAACCCTGTCTGAAAAAAAAAAAAAAAAGCGACTGTCTTAAGTGTGGTTTAGAAATTCCAGCTGGAGTTTGAATGCCAGTGATGCTTTCTAGCTGTATAAATTTGAATATGATACATTGAATTTCTCTGTTTCCATTTTTTCATCTGTCAAACTGACTCAGTTACACAGAGTCATTAGATGTAAATGAGATAATGCTTAAAAATAGAGGTACACATGCCTTTAATCCCAGAACCTGGCTCTCTGAGTTCCAGGGCTACTCGCTTCAACCCGCCTCAAAACAAAACAAAGTGTTTAGGCTTAATAAGCACTTGTCGATGTCCATCAACTAAAGACAACCAGAAATAACTAATAGCCAAACTTGGGCTTACTTAGAAACGAAGACTTCTGAAGTCATATACCACAAGACCACAAGGGACCATCAGCCATTTCAGTCAAGGGATGCCAAGAGGAGCTTATGTTAGGATTTGTTTTGGGTAATTTGGGAGAGGATGAAAGGAAGTAGAGGCGTGATCTGAACTGGGAGCTCTCAGAAGGCATGAGTAATTTTAATATTTTTGTTTGCTTCTTTCTTTCAAGACAGGGTTTCTCTGTGTGCAGTCCTAGCTTTCCTGGAACTCGCTTTGTAGACCACGCTAACCTCGAACTCACAGAGATCTGTCTGCCTCTTCCTCCCAGGTTTTATTTTATTTTATTTTTTAAGAAGTAGGAGTCAGGCAGTGGTGGCACATGCCTTTAATCCCAGAACTTGAGAGGCAGCATGGTCTACAGAGATAGTTCCAGGTTAGCCAGGGCTACACAGAGAAACCCCGTCTTGAAAAACTGAAAAAGAAAGAAATAGGAGGAGTAGGAAGAAGCCAGGTTGTAGTGGTACATGCCTGTAA